ATAGTAGCAGGGGCAGTAGTTTTATTTTTTTATTTAATTGTTTGTATTTTATTATTATATTTTACACAATTATACTTCAATAAAATAAACTTCAACTTGGGAAAAAAAAAAACTAGCAAATCGTTTGATCGTTACGAATCCGATACAGTATGTATTGTTATATTCTATAATCCACATTTTTTATCAAGTTTTATCAATGCTATCAGTTCCTAACTTTCATAAATTTTTGACCAATAGCGATTCACACAAATTCCTACTATCAATAATACCGAAAAAGATACGCCAAAAAGCCTTTGATTCTCACACCAAATAAACCGATAATTTCTGAACATATGTATGATCAGTATTCGTCGGCATACATTATTTGTGCATTTCATTCTGCCATCAATTATATCGAGAAATCAAACAATTAATAGGAAAGACTGAAAATTTATTTTTAGATAACAGTATTGTAAAGAAGTTGGAATCCATATTAGATGCAGATCCTAGTGTCGTTGAATCAAAAATAATATCGGAAACAACATCACACTATAACGATCAATCAGAAACCGGAAGGTTTCTTTTTTTTATTAAACATTCTTTGTTAGCCTTTACGTCAAATTTCGAATATAAAAATCCAAAAATTTTTGATCGTGAAATCTCTGAGCGAACATTTATTGTAGAATGTTTGTCTCCAATATTCAAGTCATTCAGAAATGCATTTCCGGAAATCAAGTACGATTGGATTGAAAAAGAAGTGGATTCAATTAAGATTGCCAATAAAATGTTTATGACGCAAGCTAGATTAAGAAAGACTGGCCTTCTTGTCACCCATTTGGTAGATGGCAAAGAGATTGTGGATGTTGAGGTTTCCGGTCCACCTTATAATCCACAAGAATCACATACAGTAGGAGATATAAAAAAATTGTTGATGATGGCAGTCTGTAATTTGTGCTACATATTTGGAAATGATCTTAATTGCAAGATTGAAGATGCAAAAAAAAATCAAATCATTTAGTATACAAGTAATCGGGGATAGATTAACACTTTTTTCGGGTTCACTATTTGATAGAAGGAAGTATTTGGCTGTGGAACTTGCATCTTGCATAATTCCATTTTCTTTAGATTCGACAGTGTACTTTTTGAAAATCTTTAATTTTTTTTCAAATTCTAAAAAATGAAATCTTTGAACAAAAGAAGTTTAGGAAAAAAATTATGATCAATACACCAGGAGAAGACAAAATGAAAGTACGAGATTGGCTACATTTTTCAGATTCTAGTTTAAAGGCATTGCCAGATTTTTTAGATGCTATCACCATTTAATGTGAGTAATATAAAAATAATCAAAATTTTAGAAATGAAATTATATACACATACAGTATATTACCATATTTTAAGCTTTTCTTGATCTTAATAATAATAATAAAGTTTTAATTGCTCTGTTAATTCGTTTATCAACATATAAAAATTAAATAATATATAAAAATAGAGAGTGATATATAACACATTAATTAATACATGCAGCCCAAATTATTGTTACGCGTGCCGTAATTCAATTTTTGATCCCTGAAATTCTTGGTAATACCAATGCTCACTTTGTCTGGTTCTGTTGCAGTATGCCCCATATTTGAATAAAACAATTTGAATAAAATAATACATTCACATTGCTAATCCATTAAAATATTTTTCCTATACAGTGATAATAATAATAAATAGTAGTAGCAAAGTAATTTCATTTTATTTTCTTTCCTTAAGTCATAGTACCATAGTAGTTATATTGATTATAAATATAATTATTATAATTTATATAATCTTGTTAAAGAGGATAAGACCTTATTATTTTTATAACTTTACAATCCCTTAACAATAACAAAAATAATAATATAGAATTTTTTGTATCAAATCATGAATTAATACTTTATATTTTGTAAAATGAATAAAACCACCTCTTGCCATTAATATCAAGTTAATGCTAACCATAAATAATGTCAAATGACAATCAACCATTCTTTGTTATATAAATGTAATGAAATGAAATCTTCCTATTGTAACAATTTTAAATATTATTAACTGATTTAAAAATCCTAAATCTTGATATTTTTTTAATGTTTTCATTATTGCATCATGTTCATCATAAAACTACAAAATTTCGTTGTTAAAGGTTTAGGTCCTCTCCAATTCTTCATTAAAATATTTAATGAATAGTCACTAATATTATAAGCCCCATAAACACAAATCATTCCTAATTTTTTTGGTAATGTTTGATTTAACACCATTAATATTTTATCACCATCAAGTCATAAAATCCATCTTTGCCAAAATAACCCAAATAAGAATCATTAAAAGCATTAACAAGTACAATACTTTTTAACTTTGTACAATTATTATTAATTCCTGATCAAACTCATCATCATAAAGTGTTGATAAATTTTCTAAATTTATACAAGTTTGTGCAATTGATTTAAATAGCTTTCTCATAAATTTGCCATCCCGAGTGTTATAGTTTTCCTTATTAAAATCAACATCCAGCTTTTTAAGTGTTTTTCCATTGATATTAATAAAATCAGACAAGTCTGATAGGAATGATTGATATGCAACACATACCCTCACAGTTTCAATACTTGGCAGTGAAATATTTTCAAATTATTTAATCTATAATCAACAATTGCTGATAAAGTCTTTAAATTTTTAAATGTTGGTATTAATGAATTTTCCAAATTAATTTCTCCATCAGATTCATAAGAAGTTATTGATTGTGAATGTGTTAGTATTGCTTCTTTTAATTCATCTGGTAAAATTTGTTCATTTTCTGCTTCAACAACTAAAGATTTAATTTGCTTTTGTGCTTTAATTAGCTGTGGCAAATTATATATATATTTATCATTACTATTGTAATATATTTTTAATGATTGAATATTTTTACAAACATTTAATAATTTATCAAAAATTTCACTATTAACAGAACTAACATTCTAATTTATAAAGATCCTGAAAGATATTATCAAATCTATGATGATTAATTAACAAATTCCGATCTATATAATTAATAGTACTACATACTCTAATACCTGCTGAATGATCTAAGATAAATTCTACTAATTTATTTTGTAAAATTTGTGATGCACCAATTTTTATCAGTATTTGAAAACCATAATAATCAGAAAGTCTAGTACTAAATCTGGCATAATTATATAACAGTGGTTTCTCCAATAGTTCCAAAGTTAATTCAATGTGATTTCTAGTTAAGAAATCCTTATCTTCTTCCAATAAACAATTAATTATTTTGATGCTGTCTTCACAAACAAATGGATTTCTCCATAAAGTTGAAATATTAATATAGTGCCATTGTTTGTTGACAATAATACAAGAATATCACGTTTTATAGTCATCTTTGATGTATTTGGATATTTTTAGTTAGAAGTTCAGGTGGCAAATTGAACATTTTTTTTTAGGTAGAAAATAATAATTGTTTGTTGTACACATTTATTTATTTATTTCTAACCAACCAACCAATTAAATAAATTTAGACAAATGATTGAATTTATTGTGCTATTGTATGTGAAATTGAAACTATGTGAAATCGAAATTTATAATCAAAATTTTTGGGTAGGATGTTTGGAATTGGCTAATTTGAATTTCACATATGTGAATTGCAAATTCACATAGATTTCATTTTCACACACAACAGTGCTGTACCAGCAGCAATTTATCAAAATGATATTCAACTAGCTAATAATTTTATATATGAGGAATTAATCAAATAATTGCATATATTTACTATTTAATCATTTCATTAATATTATTATATAGATGATTAATTTAATTATTAGGAAGATTATATTATTTTTGTGTGGAAGATACAGTAATTGTTGGGCTCAGTTTTGGTTATTTGCTTTGGTAGAAAGCAAATGTTTAATTTTTGATTTTTGTTAAGCATAAACATTTTCGTTTTTGTAAAGAATTTAAGTGATTTTGTGTAAATATAAGGTGTTAAGATTGCTCAGCCAGATATAAAATGCTGACATTTATTAAAATCGTTATCACATATCACTTTGTTGTATTGTGTCAAAGTATTTTGCAAATGTATGGCTGAATTTGATCAGCCAAAGAAAAATAAAATAACAAGGAACTTTGCTAAAGCATTTGTTGCTTTATAGTTTCTAAACTAGATTTTTGCAACTGCGTGAAAATCAAAAGGTTTCACCATAAGTCAAAAATAGTTTTGACTTTTGTTTTTTGATCTGGTTTGACATGTAGCTTTTAATTTTAGTGTTTCGACTTTTACCTCTTCAAAAATAGTTTTGGCAACCAACACAAATTGTACCATAAAAGTGTGCTTATGGATTTGCCAAAGCTTTCTAAGTATAAGAAAGAGACAACAAATTTGTGAAACAAGTTAATTGATGAGAATTGAATATAAAGGCTTATGATTAATTGACAAGCATAGCTAAAAAGTTAACTCAAACTTGGCCATAAATATTTTAGAAGTTGTATGACCATTTAATAACATTGTTTTCAAATTTTCTTTTAAGATTACATTGATTATTATATTTGATATATATTATGAGATTACAAACTAATTATGGAATTACAGTCTAATTACAATGTTATGGTTTTAATTATGACTAACACTCAGATGCTGTAATATTATGACATTCACAAATCAATTTGGGCTGCGTGTATTCATCATATTTATTTGCAAGATCTTGATGTAAACATGGTTACTAACTTGTAACTATAGAATTAAACAAAAATAAATAAATGGGATTTTAGAACAATAGTTCCCCTATCTGTATGTAAAGAAAAAAGTTGAGTAGATTCTTAGAAAATATATTCAGAAGAATTATTATCCCTTAAATAGTTTTTTGGTTATTGATGGCAAAAAATTTTTTCTATATATATATAAAACTTTTTCTGAGAGTATTGCTAATATATATGAACATGACCTTGAGATTCAGTCAATTGATTTATAAATAAATTTAGCCATTGTCCTTGTAGTTTTTATAAAATATTTAAAGTTGGTCAATCACTTTGTTGATCATTAAATCAACCAATAAGAATGCAAAATCATAATCAACAAATTAATTTGTGTTGCCATTGTTAATCTGATCCTCTGATAATTATAATTGTGAAAATGGAGTAAAATCACCAGCGAAATTAAAGATATCACTTTTTTAACTTTTTTAATTATAATTTATTCGAGGTCATATGAATTGATCGACGAGGGGACGAATTTTTCCCAACCAAATTTGGAAATCTCCCTTACTGTACTGTAACGTATCAAGCAAAATTCGTTAATTGATTGGTTGTTGCATTTGTATATCAATTCCAAATTTATACAATCCCGCATTGTCAAATTTTAGCCCCTGAAATCTTTTGATTCCTTGCATTCAAAAATTATAACTTCTTTAATTAACTTTTTTCAATAAACAAAAAATTATTTTTTATTTATTTAACTTTTTATTTTACAACTTCTTTTTATTTAACAACTTTCTTTTGACAAGCTCAAGAAATTTATTTTATTTATCAAAAAAAACTTATATAAATAATCTAAATTTATTTATTTTTTTTTTTAATCCTTAATCTGCACTCTTTTGTTTGAAGTTGGTTATTTATTTATAGTGGTTTTTCACACACACACACATCCACACACACACATACGTAAAATATATCTAAAAAGGTTTGAATTTTTATAGTTGTTTTTTTCTCGTTTTTTTTTTTTTTTTTTGATTTTGTTTATTCAAAATTTCGCCTGAACTAGATTTCGACGATTTCTCATTAACAAGCAAACTGTCAGACTATACAGTTATTAACACAACAACAGAAATGAATAATGGAGAACTTGGTAAGTAATCATTACATTTTACATATAATAAATAAATTTATCAATTTAAAGAATTATTTATAACGAATCTATATTCAGTTTCAAATAGTCAAAAAGTGGTTATTTATTGTTAAATTTTTTTTTACAATAAATATATACTTTTTACATTATAATTTATAACTCTTTAAACCCAAACTGCAATATATACATATTTATATATATATATATTTGACATGTATGATTTTTATTAAATTTTATAAATTTATTTATTAATAAATTTAAGTAGATTCGGGTACAGTCAACTCCCTTAAACAACAAGTTCATAATCTTCGACACGATCTAGCAGAAAGAAATGCATTGCTTAACACAGTACAAAAGCAACTTAATAATAATAAACGTCAACCAAATTCATCAAATGTTATAGCGACCAACGAATCTACGACTGGTAGATTTATTGAGCATTTACAAGTTGAAATAGACAATTTAAGAAAAGAATTAAATGAATCGAAAACTCAAGCTCAAACTGCAAAAATTTCTCGTGAAAAATCTGAACGACAAGTACAAGAACATACGGCAACACATCAAACTCTAAGGCTTGAGATTGATTCATTGAAAAGGATGCTTGAAAGAAAAGAAAGACAAACAAAAGAGTTGGAGGAGTCATCACGAGATCATGAAAAAAAAAGTACATATATGAAATTTGAACGTGATAATGCAAGCACTAAGCTTCGACAAGCAGAATTGAAGGTATCCGATTTGGAAAGAAAATTATCCGAAGCTTTGGCTTGTAAAGAAAAAGCTGAATACGAGTATAAACTTTTATCTAAAGAAATGCAAAGTTTCAAAGCTAGATACGCCAAAGATGTTGAAACTGTTAAACAAGAGTTTAAAGAGCTTCGCCAAGAATTAAATTCAACTTCAAGACATCTAGAGGATGTTGTCTTAATGGCAGGTGTACGTGTTGAAGAATTAACGTCTGAACGTAAAGTTAATGTGGATAATTTAGAAAGTGTTTATTCCAAATTGAAAGAAAACCAAGAAAAATACACAGCAGAACTAATTAAAGAAGTGAAGGAAATAAAAATAGATGTAGAAAACACGAGTAAAAAAACTGATGAATATGCAGATCAAGTCAGCAAAATGAAAGGTGAAATAACTGGAAAATTAAATTGGTTGAAACGTGTTGAACGTGTTCAACAAGAAGGTTGAGAAAATAAAAGTTAAGGATAAATATTTTTTTTTAAATTATTAAAAAAAATTAGAATAATTATAATTATAATTGACAATATAATTGAATTAATAACGACAATTTTTGAGTTCTATTTGTTTTATTATTTAATTAAATAGTTAAATTTGTAGACTCTAGGTGTAGATTTAAATATTTAAATATTAAATTAGTTAATTAGTATATGAATAATTTAGTTATTTTGGGTTTTTTGAGGGTTACAATATGACGATGTATTTATATAATAATAATGATATACAAAAAAATATTTATTTATTTAATTTATAATAATAATAATAATAATAATAATAATATTTTAAATAAATATTTTTATTTGCTATCTTTTATTTTTTTTATTTACTATTTAATTAATATAACGAATGGACCTGGACATTCTATTCTTTTTTATCGTAATAATAATGATACGAGAATAATGGTTTTTTTTTAAAATATTAGTAAAATCAAAATTGATTAATTATTAAAAAATAATATATATATAATAATGGTAGTTGGTTGATAAGAATTTTGATAAAAATTATTCATTGTTCGTTTAAATATTCTCGTTGATTCTATATGGACAATGACATTTCTATAACAACTATCGATATCAAGAAACACAACTAATTAATAGGCATTATGTTTGGATAAGAATTAACGACCATGCAAGAATATCTAAAGGTATGTCTTGGCATTTCTATCAGATATAAATCTTCAATGAACAATCTCGGTAAATACAATTTAATTTTTTCTGTGTAATAACATATAAAGAACACCATCATGTTTGGCCTTTGATCTTTGATCTTTCATTACACTATTCATAATAAGTGTTGAAATCTAATATCAGTAAAAAATTTATATTTACTTAATTTAGAATGATATGTATAAAATTTAACATATTGGCTTATTTATTTTAGATCTATACCAAATGTTCTTTATCATTAAAAGTTTCTGCGATTAGTGGATTTGTAATCTTGCCACTATAACGAGAACCAGCAACACCACAATCAAATAGAACACCTCTATTTCGATGAGTTATGTATGGCATAAAGTCAATTGTATAACAATTAGATAAGAGGCCTATCATTATATCATAATCATATAGACATTTTGACCAAAATCAGGATTATGATAATAATTCACAATGGGTTTTGGAAGTGGTTGTGCCTCATAACTGATACTTGATAATTCACCACAAGTTTTAGAATACCTTTATCACCATATTTGTTTAATAAAAGTTTTCATTATCCATTTTTTTTGCACAGGACCTTTCTCTTTTCGCGAACTTTTGTATTGTATCGTTCCTTCCTAAAAATATTCAATACTATCTTCAGCAGACGGTTCTACCTTATTGTTTTAAAAGGAATGGAATGGATTAAGTAATATGTATTTCTAAAATCTGGACTAGCACTTGTCACCTTTCTTCATTTTGATTAGGTAATTAATTGTTAATAATTCTTTCGCACGAGGAAAATTATCCATTGAAAAGAGAAATGACAACATGATAAGTTCCAAGATAATATCTTGTGCTAAAAATAAAAGTATCGATCGATTCAAAAAAAAAAAAATAAAGTTATATATAGTAATGTATTAGGTCATACGGGATCCAAGTATTAATATTAATTTAACATTACTCGGTAAATTACTAACGATGACTAGATCAGTCGAGTGTTAGCAGAATTAAATAATACCTAATTTACTTTTTTAAATAAAAGCTCGCGAGAAAATTTTCGCGGAACCATTAAACTTGTAATTTTTATTTCTCATTACATTATTATTATTAATACATGACAAATATCTTATTTATTTTTATTTAATGCCTTCTCTAATAATTTAAGAATCTCATCAGAATTACTTTTACTAAAATCTGGACAATCTTCCATGCTCACACCAATATATGGTCCCTCATGATCTCTAATATTAAGTTTTAATGGTTTAACTGACAAAGAGCATTTATTATCTTCTTGACCTTGACATTCTATTATAGCATCAGTTGGCGTTTTAGCAGGATCTGATATCCAAAATTCACTACCACTGTGTTTATAGTCGAGGAATTTTGGTGGTAATCTTGGTACTGCATCTTCAAAATTTACTATACGATTGAGTTTAAGTTGATTATCTACAAAATTAGCAAATTCTTGATTTCCAATACGAGGTGAACCATATGTGAAAATAAATAAATTTTCTTCAGAAACTAATTTTTTATTATTTTGTACCAAATCTAAGGCCGTAAGTGTAGCAATGGCTTTTTTTGCAAAAACAAAATATTAAATATTAAATATTAATATATAGATTGATTAAATAAATAAATAAGCAAATTAGTTTAATGAATAAAATTTATCTTACCACCGCCTAAACTATGACCAGTTACAACAACTTTAAAATCAGGATTTGTCTCCATGAAATTTGTTACTTCTTCAGTAACATCTTTTATTGATTCGAGAAATGCTTTAAAAAATCCTGTATGAACTTTCGCATTTGGTGCTGGAGGATAAGGTCTCAACACTAATGATCCATCTGTCAATATATTTCTAAAACTTGACTTTACGGTTCCTCTATAAGAGACAATGAGTTGTTTTGATGTTGAATCTTTAGCAATAAAAACTGTAAATTTCAAAAATTAGTAATCGTAATAATAATATAATAATAACAATAAGATTTTTTTAATTTCTTTTTACCTTGAGTGTCTGTTTTGGGAGCGTTAATTACTTTAATAACAACAGTTTCTGGCACTGTTTTACAAGTTGGACAATCCCATTTAACAATATCTTCAACTCTGCAGTAAGCTGCACTAGCGTAATTTGCAAATGTTGTAAAAGTTTTTATTTGTTCATTTGATATTGACTTTATTTTGCTAACTGGTCTTGCATTAGTACTTTGAATAACTGATGACAAAACCAACAAACATATCAAACCCATCAACATCAATGGAGTATTTTGATTACGGAATTGTTTACTAGAATAATTAGTAGCCATTGTTTTGTTTATTTATAAATTTTATCTATTTTCTAATTAAAGTCTATTTTTAAATCAGTTTTCTAAAATTTAAAGGATAGAATGTATGTATGTATGTATGTAATGTATGTATGTATGTATGAATGTATGGATGGATGGATTAATGGATAGAGGATGGAGTAAGGAAGGAATAAATGTGTAGATGGATTAAGTGAAGGTGAAGATAAAATCAAATACAATACAATTGTATATGAAAGGAATGTGAATATAGAATATGGTAAAAATAAGAAATTAGTTGATGGTAAATGATTTCGAAACGATTATTTTTACGCATATTTATAAGATTTTTTCTTTTATGCATTTGTGCTTTTTACGGTATTATACATCATCGGCTATTTTTGTTGCGTGAACAATGTCCGTGTAACCCCGAAGTTTTAATTTTAATATTTGCTTTGTTTTATAACTTTGGTAAATTAATAAATCAGACACTGGAGTACATAATTTTTAATACATTGTTTGTTTATATCTTCCTATTTTAGTAAAGAATGGACAATAAAGACGTCAATTCAAAAAAATAGGTCATTTCGCAAGTGTAAAAAATTTTTTCATTGGTCAAAACTACTTTTACGTGATATTTTCCACTCAAAATTTTGCGTTGTGCAATATATATTAATATGTATAAACCATGATTTAACAACTGACTAAATTTAGTATTATAGTGAGTGGGGTGTTGGTTTTAAAAGACCGAACGAATTATAGGACCAGCAGATCTCTCTTAATAAGGAAATTTTGAATAAAATTTTTTTGTCTTCGTTTATATCCTAAAATTCAATGCAATAATAATAAATAATTTTATAAGTTAAAATATTACATATTCCAAAGTTTTATGGATATGTGATTCAGCCTTTTTCGCTTTAATATTTTTTATATTTGAATTTTTATTTTTATATTTTTATTTATTTATAACTCATTTTTATTATTTATTTCTTTATTGTCCGTTTATAAATTCAGTTATAAAAAAGTTACTATATATATATACTTTGTCTTGTCTTGTAAGATAAATTTTTTTTGTGTATACAAACAAATAAAATAAATCTCTGATGTATTTTTTTGTTGTTCTTATGTGTAACATTTATTAAAATTCCTTTTGTTTGTATTAGTTAGTATTGCCTGAGTCTTGGATAATAATTTCCGCGAACATGATTTATCGAAACTATCTATCATTATTGTTCATTTCAGATTAATTAAGTATAAATTCATTAAATAATTCACTGTCTAGAGTTACTCCCTAAATAAATCCATAAAATAAAAATAAAAATAAAAATAAAAGTAAAAAGAAATAAAGAAAATATAAAATAATTATACACGGGATTGGTATGAAGACTAGCCCTTTTGTTACTTCATTGTTAAAGATAGGTTTATTGTTATTGTAAAATACAAAAATCAAAGGCAACAACAAGAACAACGACAACGACAAGGACAAGGGCAATGACAATGACAATGACAATGACAATGACAATTTTTTAGCATGCTTATCAGGTACATATTTTTTTTTTAAGATGATCAGGGTAATTGCATACGTTCATTTATATGTTTTAAAGGTTCAACCACCTGGTTCCCTTACTCTGGAAACTCTTGGTGATGTAGTATTTTGTTCAAATTTAATACCACCCTTTTAAGAAAATCCCAAGTTCTTTGAAAATAAAATTTTAGAATTAATATTAATGATGAATGTTTTATTACCGATTTTGTCATCTCCGATTTATTTTCAAGTTTGATAAATAAAAGACTTTATTCTTGGAGGCAAACATTATTTTTTCACTATATCTAATATAAAAGTTTTTGTAAAATCCAAAATACATATCAATAAAAAAATAATGGCAGAAGAATTTTAAACATGAAATTAAATATATAAAACTTTATTAATAAAACTATGTCACTAAACGCTTTAAACTGATTCATGAATGCTATTATTTTGGTTTATGATGTTATTTAACTAAAAATTAAATTATTAAGATATGAAATTTCTATAATAAACTGATCAGCGTACCATAAAGTGTGCTTACAGATACAAGAAGGAGGCAGCAAGCAGGACAACTTTGTAAAATAAATTAATTGACGAGCATTGACATAAAAGCTTGAGAGTGTAGCTAAAAAGTTAACTCGAACTTGGCCATAAAACGTAAAATAATCGAGTTTGACCAAAAAGCTACTTTCGAATATGTAATTCACATCAAAATACTATTGGGTTAGCCTTTAAACAATCTTTAACCAGACTTAAAAGACCGGTCTTTAGGACTGAGACCGGACCAATACAACCCTAATTTTACTCTCTGAGTTTAAACACAAGAAATGTCATAACGTAGTTACTATAGAGGAATCACAATGCAAATGTTAACCTAGTCACATTTTCCGATTTTTCTCAAGAATATACTAGTACTAGTAAAACATGTGGATATCGTAGACTCATCAATCAAAAATCTGGTTCTCTTAAAGTATATTTGCAAATAAACTATCGGTAGAAATGTAAAATGACCCCAGAAACTACATAGATAGGTTACTATTACTCTTTTCTGGGTAAATTTAATCAATATAAAAAAAATTGAAAGGTTAGAGAAAATTTTGGGTAAATTAATATGGATGGTTTGAAGGGTTAGAACTTTTGTAAGGTGACAAAATGAGTAAATCGAATACAATCCTCATTTTTGGGTAATATTATCAGGGTGCAAAATTCCAATTGAAGTTTATTAGAAAATTTCCGGAAGCAATAGATTTTTCTTTTGGTAGAGGTAGCTCAAGGTATATTTTGTAAATGTCAATACTTCCAATGCCTTCTTTGTATAAAATAAAAAATTATTATTTTGACATTTACAGTTTACAAATAAATGATTTATTAAATCCAGAAGAAACTTCTAATGATATTATTTTTGATGCTGAACTTACTGAACTGAATTACGAAAATGAAATGAAAATCAATTGAATAAAAAATAAAAATCAATGCTTACAAACAAAAATGTTTATCTGAATATAAATGGCACATTGTTGTATTCAACATAAAAGAAAAAATCAATTTGCTCAAGAAGGTTTGTAATAGAATGATTTCTAATGTTTAAGAAAGTCAGCAATAAAAATCAACCCAATCCAAGGATCTACAACGAGGGTTAACCTTACCATTTGAGACGTTGATCTTAAGGTTAAACCTCTTACTAGTAATCTACCAATTAAAATTGGGTTACACATAACCGCCAAACCATCCAGACGCCCCTGTTGGAAGGTTGACATGTATAATTGTGATTAATAATAATTATTATTCTTTAATGTCAATGATCCACAAGGTGTCAGAATTTGCAAGTTTAGAATCTAATGGATCAAACCTTATAAGATTCATCTAAAATCAACTAGAAATAAATTATATTATTTAATTAGAATTTGCAAATGATAATAATTTACATATATATATTGCAAATATTTACCCTAAATCTAATTAAGTCAATTAAACAACATCTTATGTAGCAAAACCAGAAAATCATTTAGAAGGATTTATTGAAAAGAGCTTGTGTTTTGGGTAGGTATGGGGAGTTTGGTTTTGTGGAACCTAAAGATGAAAACCACCATTAGCTGCAATTCAATTTTCATATGCTGCAACTGTAACCACAACCACGATTCAATTTTTAGATGCTACAATTAATTGAGAAGCAATCTTTAGTGGAACCAGTCAAACAGTTAATGGTGCCAATTTATAATCTTGATTAATCAATATTCTCTTAATTTCTACAAATGGATTGACTAATGTTAATATTATTTTTTTAAGAATCTAATGAATTAAAAGAAATAAATATATTTATTAGTTACATTATTCAATGTTTTAAAAAATTGTGATTTTATACCCATATGCACTCTCAGATACAATGGTGCATACATTATGTGGATATTCAAATCTAATTCTGTTTAATTTTATATGAATAAGTTGTACTTGGAATAAATGCAATCAATAGTTCAATAAATAATTTACATTAAGCTTTAATATCTATCAGACAAGTGGCAGAGTTTTAGAAGTTATTAGTAAGCAATCTTAATCCAATCCATTCTAAATTTAAATTTATAAATACAGACATAGTTTACTTTAATATCCAGAATAAGGGGATTTCATGTACATTCTAACACATTTTTTTTATCTTTGTTACGTCTTTCACTATTTGCATCACTCAAAATCAAAATTATTTTTTAAAAACTCATGTTTTTGTACCTTTTATATAAAAAGATACTTTTTATTGAAGAGTAAAATGTTGAGTATTGGTGCATATAAGACAGAAAGAATATGCACCTCGGGATATGACTCAGTGAAATAACTTTCATTTCTTTAAATAAATTCTAGCTGAAATTCCAAAAATAGATGGTTATAATGAATGTTGAAACCATTTTTTTAAATCTTACTATGTTTTTTTTGATTATTCTTAATATAAAATATCCCATTCATTCTGTTATGCCATTGCTTTCAAAATTTTCTAAATTGTTATAATTATTTAGAACATCTCAAACATTGTTTTTTTTCTTGATATCTTCTACCAAACTGGTAATCATAATACTGACATATACTAGAGAAGTGGATAAGGCTTAGTGGGAAGCCTGCTGTGATGGACATATTGCATAACAAAGCATACCCGAGCAGATTAATCCAACTGTTTCTAATTTTCTTTTCACTTCAAAACCAACAGGTTATAAAATGTATCTTTATAATTTTAGTGCCATTTTCTCCTTTGTAAATTTTTTCAACTTCCCCATATTCATATTCCATCAAGTTATATAGAAGGTCACTTCACCTCCCCATTTACTTCCTATGGTACAGTGTTCATTTTTCTTGAGAAGGTTGCCAGGCTGGCAGACTCTCATCTATTGCAAAATAAATAAATTAGTTCAAAAGTTTTTGTATAATTATTATTTAAATGCTCATTTATCTTGAATTACTTGCATCTTCACCTCTAAACTTTTTAAATTTATTTTCAAATAGTATGTTATTCCTCTAAGAAAACAAAATTTTAAACAATATAATTTGAACTAATGGTTTGCAAACATAATACTTACCCTCATGTTCCTAATATATCTGCCTTTTAGCTTCTTCTTTTTCGGGCATTGTTTTTATAGAGAAAATATGAAACCCCATTTTTTTTGGAATGAGACGAAGGATCTAAGACAAGGGTAAGGTAATCAATCACAAAATCAGGTGACTAATATTTTCTGCCATTTCTGCGGCTTTCTGCTTAACGCCGAAGATCGTTATCCCTAGTCCCTATTACAGAAAAAAGATATTAATATTATAGTAACCATTTTAGTGAGTGCGTAGGCTTTTGCAGATAAATTAATTAAAACTTTCCCAAGGAGTAAAGTAGTAACAGTAACAATTATCGAAACTATATAAAAAAAATGGATTTTGAAAAACTCATACAAGAAAAAAATGTTTTGAATTTTTTTATATTAATTTTGTGTCTCTTTCTTCCAGTTTATTTTGTTTTTTATTCTTATTTTCATTATAAATCAAAAAATAAAGATGAATTATCATCATCGGGTGGATTTATTCCTTATCTACGCAAATTACATTCAACTCAAGGTCATGTAGTAAAGCCTGAAGGACCACTTTTTGAGAATACTATTTCCGTGACAGATCCTCGGATTATAAAATCAACATTATCAATAGGTGATAGGCCTAATTTTTTGTTCAAATTTTTGGAACCAATGTTTGGGCAAGATAATTTTCAAATATTTGAAGCTGATAGAGCTGCCAAATTTCGTGAATTGGTTGGGCCAGCTTTAGGACATGAAGGTTATAAATATATTTATAAATAAGTATACTGTATCTTTGATTACAATATATATATTCATTTTTATTATTGTTATTATTATTAAATTAGTTATGTTGACAAAATATAATCAAATGAGAGATATTGGGATTGAATTGATTAGTCAATGGGAAAAAATCTTGAATTCAAATAAAGATGCCATATTTAGAATGCAAGATGAATCACTTGAGTTTTCTTTACGGGCAACAATGAGGGCAATCATAAGGTAGGTAACAAGAGGAAAAAATCACACCTATAAACATTGTATATGATTTTTTTTTTTTTTTTTTACAAATTATTTCAATAATAGTATAGATAAACCACAAGATCTTGATTTAAAAGCATTCAAACATGCATATGATATTGCATTAAGTGGTTTATTTGATAAACAATTTGGTATGCTGGAAGCATCACGTGAAGAAGAATTTCAAAATTCTATTAATTATTTACAAGAAACTTTAAAGAATCTAATTTCTAAAAGAAGAGGAAGGACTAATGTTAATGGTGGTGAAGATGTATTGGTAAAAGATATGCTTGACATTTTGGTATTAGCAATTGATCCTGAGACAAATAATCCTTATACTGATGAAATGGTAATTATTTATTTATATTATTATTATTACTTATTATTTGATTAGTATTTAACATCTAATATTTTTATTGTTGCATTAGATAAATATGTTTATTAGTATATTTATTGTTGCTGGATATCATACAACTGGTATAGCAATTTCTTGGACTATATTCGAATTAACACAAAATATTGAAATTCAAAAAAAACTTCAAGAAGAAATTGATCAAGTGTTAAAATGTCATTTACCCACATTTGAAGGTAACCAATCATAATAATAGTAGTGCCTTCACATGCACCAATTTTTGATAGGATTAAAATTTTGGATAGGTTAAAAATTAATCTGTAATCAATTTTAAAAGTAAATCCTATCCTAACTCTGTAACCAAATTTTAATCTCATCTGAAAATTGACATATGTGAAGGTACATAATAATATTCATATATTATTTAACATTTATCACAAAGATTAATATATAATTATTTTTAAGATTTATCAAAAATGGATTACTTGACTCAAGTTGTTAAAGAATCTTTGAGAGTTCATCCACCTGGAGCATTTTGTGCACGCTTCTTAAAATCAGATATGAATGTTGAAAAAATTACAACAACAACAAAATCTTCATTGTCATCTTCATCAATTGAACCTCACAAGATTGATAATAGTCTTTTATTAAAATCAAATACAACCATCTTATATCCAATTCCATTGTTACATGAAAACCCAAACTTTTTTGAAAATCCATTGGAATTCAAACCATCAAGATTTGCCACCACCACCAAAACTATTAAACCATCAACTTATTGTCCATTTGGCTTTGGTGCTAGAATTTGCCCAGCTGAAAGACTTGCATTGTTAGATGTCAAAATGATGATTTGTCTTATCTTCCAAAAATTCAATGTTGAATTAGCAATGAACTTAAATGATGTTCAGAAAGAAGAAAGATTTGTTGTTATGGCTAAAAATGATATAATGGTAAAATTAACTTTAAGGAATAGATAATATTATTCTTGTCATTATTACTATTATGATTACTTTGATGTAAAATATGATTAATCATCAATAACTTTATATTATTATTACAATTATAAATATAAATAAATAAAATCAATTTATTTTTTTTCATTAATCAAATTTATTTCACATGCACATTTTACAAAGTCTTGTGATTTTCTCATTATCATTGAATTTTATAATATTTCCCAAGCAAACCAGTTTTTTATCAAACAAGAGGACCTAGGAGAGTAAAAACCACAGATGAAGAAGGGGAAGAGGCAAGTGAAAAGATTGTTTCACTAGAGTCATCAAGATGATGGCCAAAATCTTTTATGAAAGAGAATGCTCAAATAAAGAAGGTCCTATATATA